CACATGAATACTGATCAAAGATGTTACAATGTGTCTCACTGCATTCAGGACCGCATGTAACTGTGGTCCAAAATCTTGTTTAGTCTAAACCTCATCTTCTTCATCCTCAGACGGCAAAACCACAGGAAACTTTTGGGGACTAATGCACAATGTTTTGGAGAAAATTGGAGCAATGTGTTTGATTTTGATCGATTTACAATGTTCTGTCAACCAAATATATGTATGGTTTTTGCTTAAACTTATGGCTAAATGAAATCATATTGTGATCTGTTAATGCATATATTTGACATTTCATTTTCCTGTTATTCATCACAAGCCCTGTTCATGACTATTTGATATCCCACTTGAAACTTATTTAACAACAAAGTTGGTTATTATTACACCACTGGGTTTGATGTCTTTGACCACAAACCATGTTAAGGGGTAACTCACAGCAGGCCATGTTTTATAATAGGCTATGATTTCTGCCTTTCTGCATCAACTAATGATGTTTCCTTGTTTCCTTTAACTTGATAATATTGAATAAGCTGAACAAAACCTACTAAGAGAGAATATGAAATGATCAGTAATATTTGTAAAATACTGTTTCAAGGGAGCTAATGCGGATAGAAAACAAGCTATTACCCTCACATACTGTATGTGCAGGTACTTTTGCACATACACAGATTTGACTTGCATACTTTAAATCCCGTGCACATTAGCAGACACACACACATGACACCAGAGGCTCTCTTACACAGAACATATGCACCGGGTAAATTTCCACTCTACACACACAATCTTCAGTTGTCTTGCTGAGGGGAGGGCAGACTGACTGATGACTGACACACACACACACACACACACACACACACACACACACACACACACACACACACACACACACACACACACACACACACACACCTCTCTCAGCAGGAGGTCTCATTGTGTCAGTAGCAGCACTCTGTCACCTCTGGGTGTCTTCACACCAAAACCAGATCAATTTAAACCTCTGAAAACCAGCTTCCATCCAGTATATATGAAACTTTGTTGGATCTTGCTGAAGATAGCTTAGCCTACAGAATATATCTGATACTGTGCAGTAGTGTTACAGGACTTTCCCAATTCTTTAAAATACAAATCCCAGAAGATAAGGAAGAACATATTAGAGTTTTGAACATGTCACATGTCACATTGATTATAATAGTCAGGGAGACTGTTGTGATTCAACTACAGCAACTTACTTGCTCTGAATATGACAATGAACACATTGAATAGATTTTCATTGTGTGATTGTACTGCCCACAGTTGCTTGGAAACACTGAAGATAGGATAGGGAGTATTTCCTTCTCACTAACTTCTTATGATCTTAAATTATCCTAAAAAAAATTTAATATTTAATTGAAACCCTAATCCTAGTTTGTAAACAAGGAGATCAAATTTCACAAAAGAAAATGTAAAAGGCGTAACTAAATGAAAAATATTTTCATCTTGTAAGTCAGCCAACGTTCTTTTTCTTTTCCTTATGAAAGCTCACTCATCCTCCTCTTTTAAGTGTACTTGCTTTCGTTTCTTAGTGGTTTAACATCTAAACATACTACCATTGATGCCCTCAGGTTTGTGAGATGTTCTATTTATTGTTATATAAAAAGCATGGCAGCCAGAAAACTGAGAAAGTAAGAAAAATAAAAAACACATACATTAAACCACAAGCCTCAACCTGCTATCTCTCAGAGGCGTGGGATATTCCTCTAGTATTTATAGCTGACTGTAGCCGGATATATCTAACCAACAGCTTCACCCCCCCCCACCCCCCTATGGCAGTGACTAATCCCAGCCCACCACCACAGATGGAGAGCCCTCTCCTTCAGAGGAGGCTGGTACTGAACCAGACAGTTCAAATCACCGGTGAGGCACGAGCAGGGCTACGATGTCACAAATGACAGCTGATCTATCAAAGGTCCAGGATCTCTGGCCTTCCTAATATGGACATTTAACACTAATCACTTCCTAATGCCTACCTATGACTCTAGATATAAAGCTGATGCATTTCAAATAAAAAAGACTACCACAGAGGATTAGCTTTAAACCATGAATGACATTTACTGACCATGTATTGCTGTACAACAGTAACAGGCTTAGAATAAAAATAAATATGTATTCACATAAATCCTTACAGACATTTTAATGTATTCGGTTCTGCTTATTGACTCAATCTTAAATCAGCAAACTCAAGCTGCATCAACATATACATTAGTGATGCTTTTAACAAGTGCTGTTTGCATGGGAAGTAAGGAGAACATCAATATTATGTATCCTGAGGGCAACACTTACAGGTTTTTTCCAGGACACAGCACTGGCTCATACCCATTTCATGTTTTAGATTTAAGTCCACATGCATCACTTTGTGCATGCATGTTTTCACGAGCCAGTAAGTAAGGCTCATTCAGCAATGGAAAGAAAAGAGGACAAATCCGCTCGCATGCATTTATATAACAAAAGTCATGTTTTCTTCTCCTATTTCTAGCAAGCAATTTCAGATCTAGGACAAAGTATATATTTAAGAGAAGACCATGACGTCAGTAGGTCTATTTTGACTCGGCACATCCTGCACTGTGAGTCCGTCACTACCTCCAACATATTCCCAACAGCACCACACGAGCACTCAGAAGGCACAGTCAGTCCGGCCTTTAGTTTGAGAGACACACAGTTGTATTGGATGAACTATAGCTCACACACATTCAAGGAGAAGGCCTTCACCTGCAGTACAGTACCAACACAGAAACAGAACACAACGGAAATTTCCATCCAAGCCCTTTCAGGTCCAGGGGCTCTGCCTGGGCCATAAACAGGTTGAGCCCCCAACAACAGTCCGCTTTAGTAGGGGCTCGTGTTTGTCAACCAAATAGAGGGGGGGACCAGTGGAAAATTACCAGTCCCGCACTGGCTCACGCACACACACATGCACACACACACATACATGGTGACCCGCTGAGAGACTAACATATCTATCTCGCTCATTGCTTATGTGACAGCTTGCGTTTTTAATGGGCCAGGCTGCGGGGGGCATGGTTGCGTTGTCAGGACGCAGCGGCCCGCAAACGATGCAACCGATGACATTCGATGATGTGTGTGTGTTCACATCCATGCACATTTCCAAGAAAATACCTGTGACCTGTGGAGTAAGATGGGTCGGTAGCATGCAGTGTGTGTGTGTGTGTGTGTGTGTGTGTGTGTGTGTGTGTGTGTGTGTGTGTGTGTGTGTGTGTGTGTGTGTGTGTGTGTGTTACAGAGATGTCCTGGGGGCTTTACTCTAAAATGGAAAACCTGCCTGGCTCCCCTTCTTCCGTTGTTATTGCTGCAGCCCATCACAATACGTTACGTGCAATATGAGTTGTGACTTGAAACAGGAATTTAATACTTTAAGACTCTCATTTTTATAGCTCTAATTTAATCAGCTCCCAGCCTGGGGGGGGGTTAGGTTGATGGAGCAAACCGTTTCTCCTCGAGCCTGCAATGAATAACTTATACGTGGAGTTCCCTTAAGCAAGGCACTTCCCCACCCTGCTGCAGCGATGTGGCCGACAGTGAAACAGCGTATTTACATCGGGCATTTCCCAGATGTGAGTTTCTGAAAACCACCTCCCTCCCCGAGGCCATCACTGTGAGAAAAACCAGGTGTTCTTCATCCGTCTGAATGTGTAAATAACGCTAAAGCAAACACCCGGATGTAACTTGAATGAATCTTTACCGGTTTCACACAGGCCCTCCAGTGTCATCTCACCAATAAGCGTTCACTTCTCTTTTCCAATATTTATTTCTGTTCTGTTTTGCTTAATCTATTTGACTCACTTTTAAATCCTGTCCCTTGTGCGTGTGCTGCTTGCATGTGTTTTAAAATGTACGCTATTTGGCAAGGTTACCTAGAAACACATTGGTAGTTATAGCACAGCTCTGGGAGCACATTTCCACGGGGGAGGTCAAAGGTCAAACACACAAAAACACACATGGGAGCTGCTGTTAAAGTGCTGTAATGTTGGCAGCTAATGCAGCTCCACTGGGTCACTTTATAGGGTTAGTGTCCCGCTGAAGGGCATTTTAAGAATAGTTGATTAGGGAGGGGAAGTGTAAAACGTTGACCCCCCCCCTAAAAGACTTGCCGAATTTCAGTCACTTTCAAATGACTGGAACCTGCATATGCTTTTTTATTTTTTATACAAGTTTCACATTTATTTTCTATCTATGTTTTTACAGTTGAATATCACAGTGTGCTTTAAGCCAATGATACTTAATCATCAAGTTCACTAGGCCAGGTTTGGGCTTAAGGGGAGCTCAGTGTTTACAGCTGGCAGCCGAGGTGCAGAGTCCGTTGCCAAGTTCGCGCTTTTCAATCCCTAGCCATGGGAAAAAACTCAATCTCCCCAATACAGCCACTGTCTAGCCCCAAAAACTACTTAGAAAAAGAAAAATCACTAGGCCACTACTCATATTGGGTCTTTTTCTATCCCTTCTTTTGGGCCATGGCCGCCATGCTATATGTCGAGAATAGTGCGATATCGTGATGTGAGTCTAGAAATGGATTAGAGCAGTTGGCTTTTGTCCCTGCAGAGAGGAGGAAGGAGAAATGGTCCAAAAAACTTGAACATATAACAATGCTCATTAAAAACGTGTCTATATTCTAGATTGGTTGTTTTAAGCTATCTGTTGAAGTCTGATCTTGCACGGATGGCATTTTTTTTATAACGATATAGTTAAATAAGACTAGATATCGTGTTATATTTTGGCTATCGTAATATTTTCTTTACGTTGTCTATTCCCGGCTGTAAAGGCTACGTTTCACTATTAATGTACGTTTTTCAGATTATTTGTCTTTACCCACTAAAACAATATGTTGGTTAAATCATCAAAGTCTCATTGCGTAAATATTTAATAAATGCATCAATAGTTCCACTTGTTAAGGGTTAGAGGAATAAGGAGTTTCTTGCTGTAACATCGACTTCTCTCTCCTTCCCTGGCAGACTTTGACTTCAGCGTGCCGGGCTCCATGAAGCTCCACAATCTCATCTCCAAGCTGAAGAAGTGGATCAAGATCCTGGAGGCCAAGACCAAGCAGCTTCCCAAGTTCTTCCTCATCGAGGAGAAGTGCCGCTTCCTCAGCAACTTCTCCGCTCAGACGGCCGAGGTGGAGATCCCCGGGGAGTTCCTCATGCCCAAACCCACACACTATTACATCAAGATCGCACGGTAAGGGACTCTTTACAAAAGTGTTTCAAGTAAAAAATACTTGGTAAAAAATACTTATATGGAAGTAGAATCATCCCATCATGTATCTCTTCCCTCTCTCCAGGTTCATGCCCCGGGTGGAGATCGTTCAGAAACACAACACAGCGGCGCGAGAGAGGGAAGAGATACATGATGGGATGATTCTACTTCCATATAAGTATNTTAAAAATGCGATTAATTAATTACAAAGCCTCTAATTAATTAGATTAATTTTTTTAATCGAGTCCCGGCCCTAATTACATTGTATTCATGTGTTAAGACCAGTTTTTAAATAAATTCAGTTAAAGTTGGAAACATTTTCTAACAAATCTTAAGAAAAAAGCCCAATGACTTATTACCAACAAGCTTGAAAAACACTCTTCCTATTTCTCCTTATTATAATCAATGTGAGCTTCTGTTGTAAGGGATGAGTTGCCAACACACACAAGCATCATGTACCTACTTTTGATTGATTTTGCTAACTTATAACTGAACTTATGAGGCAGTATAGCTCTAGTGAGTGGCCGAGCCCTTCGTATATCTTTCAGCCCTAAGATATGACTTTCAACCCAATGCATCTGCGTCTTCCATTCTGGTCGTACCGGTGAAGAAGAGATGTCTCTTGGTGGTCTCCTTCCTCTTCTCCAGACAGGGGTTGAGGAGGCGGAGCAGCTGCAGGACCCTCTCCTCTCGGCGGGACTCCGTCAGGCAGGCGTCGTTCATCACCAGGTACGGGTAGATCTTTCCGTTGTGGCCGCGGATGTAGAGACGACGCGCCGCCGTGTTGTGCTTCTGAACGATCTCCACCCGGGGCATGAACCTGGAGAGAGGGAAGAGATACATGACGTGGGAGAAATAATATGTAGGGATGATTCTACTTCCATATCACTTTTTTACCAAGTATTTTTTACTTGATACACTTTTGTAAAGAGTCCCTTACCGTGCGATCTTGATGTAATAGTGTGTGGGTTTGGGCATGAGGAACTCCCCGGGGATCTCCACCTCGGCCGTCTGAGC